GAAAAAAACGAGTATATTATACATGTATTAAAAAAAACGAGAAATTAATTACTACGAAGATTAAATGCAAAAACACCCATCCATTTTAATCTATCATCTCCAAGTTTCCTGGAATGAAACAAAAAAGTGCTACTTCATGACTACTTAAGGTTTTTTCATATTTCACAACTCAAGCCTTAACTTCCTGCCATATTCAGCAGTTTTCTCTGGTTCGGCAAGATGAATGGTAATAGATGCTTTTGATAAAGGCTGACAGCTCTCGATGATGGATTTTCTTTGATATCCTGGCGATTATAACTCAAGGTGCGGTTAATTTCCTATAAATGTGAAGCAGTGCAGCTTAATAGTAATCAATATATATACAGGGTGTTTCAGAACTAAGGGATCAAACTTTTAGCGGCTATTCAGTGTAACCGTAGAAAACATTTGAGTATAGGGACCCATATCCGGAAAAGTGTCACTAAGGCACTACGGCCCTAAGACGGCCTAAATAGGATTTAATGCATTTAATTTTTGCTTTTTGTACATGATGTCATCACAACAATTGTTCAAAATGTCTTCCTCCAACCTGAATACACTGAATTAAGCGTCGCACATGATTTCGGCGGACTTGATTAGAAATTTGATACTCTTTTTGAATGATTTCAAATGATGCTGTAATGCGTCCAATTAAGTCTTGCTCTGTTTCTACTGGAGTTTAGTACACCAAAGACTTTACATGTCCACACAGGAAAAAATCTAGCGACGTTAAATCGGGTGACCAAGGAGGCCAAGAAACTGTTCCACCTCTGGCAGTCCATCGGTGCCCAAACCGCTGAGCCAAATACTCACGTACTTGTACAGCAAAGTGAGCCGGCGCTCCATCATGTTGAAACCACATTTGCTGTCTAACATTCAATGGAACATTTTCAAGAAGTTCTGGAATAACTTCTTCCAAGAACGCCGGTAAATAGGTCCTGTTAACTGTTCCGGTAGAAGGTGTGGCCCAATCAAATAATCATCAACAATGCCTGCCCATACGTTAACAGACCAACGTTGCTGATGTTTTCTAGGAAAAATTGCATGGGGATTTTCTTTGTTCCAAACGTGGCTGGCTATTCCTACTATTAAAAATATCGTCTCTTGTGAAAGAGACTTCATCGATCCATAAAACAGCGTAAAGAATTTGGTTGTGCAGCGATTTGATAAAAAAGCCATTGGCAAAATTAAACTATAGAATGGTAATCGGCTGCAGTCAATCCTTGAACTTTCTGGAAGTGACAAGGATAAGGTTGTTGCTCGTGTAGCACCCGCCAGACGGAAGCGTTACTCGTATTCATATCCACAGCAATGTGACGTGTGCTACTTGATGGTTTGTCGGCAACTCGCTGAAAGACCTCTTCTTCAAATTCGACCGTTCTTACGGTTCGAGCAACAGCAGTATCATGTATGTTGGTTTTAAACATGCCTGACTCGGAGAGCCGCCGATGAATAGCTTTTTGTATCCCGGATGCTGTCGTTCGGAATAATGTTCTTGATACAACCGCGCTGCTGCTCGTGCATTGCAGCTTGGTGCTCCGTATGCCAAATGCATATCCGCCAAATCCTGATTGGTAAAGTTTTCCATAAGCAAACATTAATTTTTGTTAAATTCTTGCAAACTTCACAAAAAGAATAGCACGACTAAGGCGAGATGGAATGCAGCTATCGTTTTTAAAGATAACAACACACAAGCGTCGGATATGGGTCTCTATACTCAAATGTTTTCTACTGTTACACTGAATAAACCCTACAAGGTTGATCCCATAGTTTTGAAACACCCTGTACATATTCAGTAAGCGGGTAACAAAAAGAATATTTTTTCGAGTGTAAAAGTTTTATGCCCTAACATTTCGTGCAATTAATTGCAGCATTTTTGTTCTAAAAAATATCCATTTTCCATATTAAACTTTGAGCTGTTTAAAAAACATTTTTTCGGCTACGGTAAAATTTACTTTATGAATATGGTAAACTACTTCTACTTTTACGATACGGACCTCCATATGCCGCTTCACCGCCCGCTATCTTCAACTCATCGAATAAGAGCACTGTCCGTATTTGTTTGTTGCTAGGCCAGGGCTTTGGCCACCGGCACGTAATTTGAAAAGTGACATTGTCTTTTTTTGAAATTTTTTTTTTTTATGATAGTCTGGATTCTAGAAGATGTAAACTTGGAACTAGTTCAGTCCTTCACTTCATGCTCACTTGTAGCAGGCGCGGAATGAACTATTTGCACGCTAGCGTCAACCTAGTCAACAAGGCAAGGCGACGTTTTACCGTTTTTTCTTGACATTGTATAGGTTTTTTACACACCTTGGGTTAACATTTTACGCTGCAGCCTGCTTGACGCCCTAAATGCGGAAATAACTATAAATAGCCATCTATTGCCAGAATCTACCACTGCAAACCATTGGCAATATGCGTTATCGTTAGTCTATCTCTGACGATCAAGCTGAATGTTTCCACGAGACAATCTTCATTTTTTTGATATTATGTAGGTTTTTTATGATACTCTAGATTCTAGAAGATTTCAACTTGGAACTATAGCACTTCCGAAGAAAAATTTCCGAAGGTCTGTGGCGTGCGATTGAATATTTTTTGGCATGCTTCATTCATTTATGAGAGAACTGTTAAAATGATATTTTGGCAAGAGTGCCTTATTAGGCGAGGGCCAATTGCCAAGAAAACGGACAAAAAGAACTGTGTCGGTTTCTGAAAAAGAAACTTTTATAAATATTTACATAGCTTCTCGGGAGGGCTATCCAACTAAAACTCAGGCAGAACGTGTAGCCTTCGTTTCAAGAGCATCACGTGAGGATTTAGCTTTGACCCATAGTTTAAAATGTTTTGTAGTTTGACATATTATTCTAAATAATTATTTTCTGTTAAATATCTTACCCACTAATATGATAGCTACTTCTGTTGCACACATTTTGATTTTTAAAACGTATTTTCAATTATTATTAATGATTAATACATGTATGTATAATATATGCAAAATGTATTAGTTTGCTTTTTAGGAGCATCAATTAGCAGTGTATATAAAATTTTGACAGAGCACAAAAGAAGCAACAGTCTTTTTCCTCCCATAGAGCCAGGGTAGTTTTGGATAACGTTTCACAAGAAACTAAGACATTAATCCGAAGAAAAATTCACGAATTTTGAGTTTTTATGTTTTTTATCATTCTTTAACTATTCTGAAATTCGTTATTCGTATAATATGGTTCATTGAATTAACGAATTTAAAGATTTAATGTAATTTTTAGTTTTGTAGGAAGGAAGCGAAATAGCATCTTGAAAGAAAAGGACGAGATAATATGTTGGAGACGTAGATTCTTACGCGAAATCTGGAAGTGTAGAGAAGGCAGGAAGATATACTACCTAGACGAGACTTAGCTCAATGCAGGGCACACTGTTAGCAAAGTATCTTGGAAGGTCTCTCCACGGGATTAAAAAATCTTTCAGGAGAAGGAAAACGGCTAATTATCTTACACATCGGATCTGATAAAGGCTTCGTTGAAGTGGGACTATTGGTATTTGAATCAAAACAAGCAGGAGACTACCAAACCGATATGAATGCCAACTTATTTGAAGGATGGTTTGAAAATATTAAAAGCCGTCTCGAAGAGAACGCTGTCACAGTTATGGACAATGCTTCATACCACAGTAGGCGTATTGATAAAGCACCAAACACAGGAAACAGAAAAGGGGAAATACAGGAATGGCTACGAAGGTATAATGTTCCCTTTGACAACGATATGGTCAAAGCAAAACTTTCAAATCTGGTCAAGGGCAATAAAATTGCTGACAAGTATGTCGTCGAGGAATTGGCTAAATCTACCAATCGGACTATTTTACGCCTGCCTCCTTACCATTGCAAGTTTAACCCAACCGAGTTAATTTGGGCGCAAATTAAAAACGAAGTTTCCAGAAAAATACAGAATTTTCAAGATCGCAGATGCAAAGCAGCTTTTTCACACCGCGGATAATGACCACAAGGACCTATATCCCTAAACATACTTGTATAATTACCATGTTTATTTCGACGGCTGGACTTCAAAGTAGGTTATCCCAATCCTGTGTTAATCCTGACCGCTAATTTCGAAGTAACCTACTATTCATCATTATTCGTCAGAGCGGTCCGGTGGACCTTTGCTCTTAGTTAAAAGTGTCGTCGGTCTGTTAGTCTGTCAGGTCTGGCTACCCAGATACCAAACATGTTTAGGGGGAAAAGGGAAAGAAAGAAAGGAAGGAAGAAATAGAGCAAAGAAAAGAAGTAAATCATTTGAAATAGCTTAAGCATTATTGCTTTGACTACTCAATTATTTTGTAACTCAAAAAATAATTTTGATCGGTTTTGTATATAGAAATAATGTTAGCTGGTCTGAATTTACAATTCAATCAGCCCTCTGTCCAAGATTTTGACAGTTATCAGTTTTGGTTTGACTTGTGGATTGCCGAAATAAACGGTCAGGATTACACATGATTGAGAATTTTTGAGCACTCTTCTTTATTTTTTCTTATGTATTAAAATTATATATAATAAAATAATATGAATTGTAATAAACCTTATAGCACCTTGAATAATGAAAAGATCGAAGGAACAGAGAAAATAAATCAAATTTAAAACCTACATGCCACTGGCATCGGTTTTGCAGGTAGTTGTGCGGTGTAAATCGGGCTGCCCTGACACTTTTTATTACTCCTGACGTTTAGTTTAAAAGAACCAATTACCAATGGCCTTTTACCAATGGTGTCTCTTTGAATCGTAACTGTATTTCGAAAATCGTCAGAAAACAAATTAGTCTTAGAACATTCCAAATTCTATTGATTTTTTTGCCGGATATTTTGGAAACATCACGTAGAAGAACATTAAATGAGTAAAACTTCGCGGTATAAATACTCAATAGTCCATTCGTAATAGTAGTAACTCAAGGCTAAGTCCACCTCTTTCACCTCCGTAATGTACTTTTTTCTTTTCCCTACAGCGATCCTAAAACGAAGTTAATTAAAAATTTGTCATTCTCCGCTGGAGACTTGAAATGCCTGGAAGATACCTGATATCCTGCAGCTAGTTCACGTCTTCTTACTTTACCTGTATGAATTTTTGCCTTTGCATACGAAACAGTTTAAAATGACTGGAATCTATATAGAAGACTGACCTTGAAGCAATAGGAAGCAGTTTTGTTGGTGAATCGAATGGCGATCAAATATATTCGCACCAAGATCAGTATTTTCATTTTTAGAGCTTTTATGCACGCGACATAATTCGTCTATTTTGAAAATTGAAGACGGGCAATTCGTACAGAAGGCGCTGCACAAACATAACATGTCGGAAGGTACATAAGTTAATTTAAATTATCAATTTTTAGCTTCACACATGATGTGGATTTATAATTTTTTCCCAGAAAATGTTCCCATGATGGTTATTGACAACGGATCAAGTATAACTTTTACCGATGTGATAAGCTATCAAGACTCAAAACATCCCTTAAAATTGTTTAAGGGGGAGCGGTTTTTCGGGCAGGTCGCGTAACCGCCTGTCTCATCAGTTACATTTACAAGAGGCCATATAAAACAGTAAGGACATTTTTTAAGAAACCTTACGCGGAAAAAGTTTTAAACATATGCTTAAGCGCGCATTTTTTTATAACACGTTTGAAATGTACATTTTGAGAGTATATCACACGAATGATATCGTGAAATTATACGAAATACCGAAATTGCGAAATATTGCATGATCTAAGACATTTTTTTCCATTGTTGTTTTCCACACACATATTATAAAGCGGTGTGCATTGTAACTCACATTCTACTTAATAATATCATGAACAGCATGGAGCTGACTATCCATAGCCATTGGAATATATAGTACGTTGGAACCAATTCAATTTTTGTGTCGCCGTTGATCCCTTCTTTTCAGTGACTGGTATTGTTGCTGGATTGTAACTCTAATTGGTGCTACTGTATCTATTTCTGTCTATTCTTTTTTTGTTTATTTATTTTTTAGTACTTCACACGTCTACATGATGGGACCAAAGTAGTTGCTTCTCGCCAATAGCAATCGTATGCATTTTCTTTTCTCGCGAGACACTCAAATTCGTACGATTACATATTTCAAAACGCTCGACATAATGTCATGTTTCTAACACTTTGTCGATTGACATAAATAAACTGTACATGCCATGATATTTCATTTTACTTAATATTGTAAAAAAAAACAAAAAAAAAAACGTAAACGACCTGATACTTTAACTCCTTCAAAAACGATAACAACAACCAAGGGTAGGAAATATACGAGGTTTGTTCATAAAGTATCGCAAATTTTGAATTTTCGCAGGCTACGTATGTTCGATTTTCGATCTTTTTGTGGCGTTATGTTGGACTCATAACCCTCACTAATGTTAACAATATCGGCCATTTTGAATGTTCAGTCAGTTTTTGACAGCTATTGTGCGTGGACGTCTTTTAGGCTGTCTCCGATTTTTGCATATTCCAAAAAATGGATCAAACAATTTGTATTAAATTTTGTGTAAAAAACCACTTGGAAGTGCGCGGACATATTCCAAATGTTGACTATTGCATACGGCGAAGCTACTTTGGACAAACACAACGTTTATCGGTGGTACAAAGTGTTCTCAGAGGGCCGAGAAGATGTGAGCGACGAAAAGCGTTCTTGCTGCAGGGTAGAACAGTCAATAAGGAATATTACCTTCCAGTAATGCGCAATTTGCGAGAAGCAATCCGCCAGAAACGCCCAGATTTGTAGAAGAACAAAAATTGGATTTTGCACCATGATAACGTCCCTGCTCATGCATCGTTACTTGTGCGCGAATTTTTGGCCAAAAACAACACTCCAATAATGCCTCACCCACCGTTTTCCCCAGACCTGGCCCCCTGTAACTTTTTCTTGTTCCCGAAACTGAAGAAGCTCATGAAAGGACGACGCTACGCCACGCTTGAGGAGATAACGACGGCATCGAAGGAGGAGAGAATAATATCACAAAAAATGATTTTTCAAAATGCTTCGAGGATTGGAAAAAGCGTTATCACAAGTGTATAATGTCTGCTGGTGATTACTTTGAAGGGGACAAAATAGATATTCATGAATAAATAAATAATTCTTGAAATAACATGAAATTCGCGATACTTTTTGAACAAATCTCCTAACCGGTAATTCTTATCCCGCCTCTTCACCACTCTCTGTCTCTTTCGCGACGTGCGTGTGAAAACAGATTACTCAAGATATCTACACAATCAATTGAGAGTTCTAGTTATAAGCGAGAACGGGAAAACGTATAAACATCAAATGTAAATGTTAATTTTAAAACTATCTTACCTTGATACGTCTTCGGTGCTGATGGCCTTTGGCGTTGAAGGTGGATGGTGGAGTGCTACGTTCGAGGAGTGTACGGAGTGTATGGAGTCTGCGTAGCCATGAGAAGCTTTCGTGGCTGAAACAAAAAATTTCCGACGATCGTAATTGAGAAAAAATGCATCTATTTAAGCCTTTTTAGAAAAATGTTAGCTACGAAACCCAGTGTGTATAACAAAGAAATTAAATAGGTCACGTTACGCAATTAGACCTATACTGTGTGACCCAGATTCGCTTCTCTATAGAGTGATCTCGGCTCCTGTTATACCTACAGCAAAGGTTTAATGGGAGAAGTTTTAGAGGAAACTTAGTGCATTCGATAGCCAGCTGCAGATTTACGACCGGTTTCGGAAATATCGGCGAAAAACCGAAAATGTCGGATTTTGTTTTTTGCCTGTAAATCTGAAACGGTTAACTTGGCAGAAGTCAAAATGTGACATTATTCAAAAAAAATTTAAGGCAAATAAGATAGTGTGTATGAATCTTCCAATCGTCTTTGGTTTTCCGCGACCTGCCTCAACTTTCATTTTTCTTATTGCCGCCATACTGGATTTTTCGATGTTTGAAAAGAGCGTAAAATTTCCAACCTAGTGATGAAACAGTCACCAATTGTCAAACATGTCTGGAAGCAAATGGACGTTATTTTGCAAATCTGAAAATTAATACCCACTTACATAATTATATTTTACACTACGTTACAATTTTGTAAAATGTTTGTTTGTTCAAGTGTAATATAAATTTTCTTGGTTTTTTAACACACTCATAGTTGGGAATTTGTCCCAAAAGATTTGACTTGTTGAGTAGTCGATATTAATTCCATTGAAAATGCAAGGCGCTTATGTGTTATTTATGCCTTACTCATTAATGTTATTTTCTGACAAATAAATAAATCATCCTCCCTAGAAAAAAAAACTAATACATAACATAACGTGTGAAGATATTTCGGTGACACTCCAATCTTTTATGCACTTGTGAGACATCACTAGACTGGAAATTTTACACTCATTTCAAAATTCAAAAAATCCAATATGGCGGAAATACGAAAAATGAAAGTTGAGGCGCGTTGCTGAAAAACAGATGATTGAGATATGTCCTAGATGCTATCTTATTTTTCTTAAAAAAAAATGTCCGAACAATAACACATTTTGACAGCTGTCAAATTATCCGTTTTGGATTTACTAACAAAAAACAAATTCAGAGATTTTCGGTTTTTCGCTGATATTTTCAAAGCCAATTGACGGATCGTAAATCTGAATCTGGCTATCCAAAGCACTAAGTTCCCTCTTTATTTTGCTATAGGTATAACAGGAGCCGAGATCTTTTTATAGAGAAGCGAAACTGGGACACACTGTATAATTAGTCTCCAATCCCCACCTATGTGACAAGCAGCGTCAACATTCCTATCAGAATCGCGATGAATCAACATCAGTGGCAGCGGCTACCTCGCGATAGGTTTAAAACCTGTTTTCCTTTTGCTCGACGCGGGTATCGAAAATATTTTATTCGTCCTCAAGTCTAAAGCGCAAATACGGGCCGAATTCTGTCTGAAATTTGTCAAATAGGTGCATATAACTTCCGTAGTTAAAAACGTATATTGTATATTAAAACAAAAAAATAAAAATAAAAACAGGATACCCTCCCCCATCCACAATTTCTTTTCCTCAAAATAGTTCTAAAAATGAGCAGGAATCTCTGAAATGTCACAAAACGGGGTTAGAGTCAATAATATTTTATTTTTCTATTTTCTTTGCCTGCCGCTACTAGATCGCTTTTGAAAAATTACAAAGTTTCTTTATTCTTGACATAGTGGTAAGCCTTGTTTCAAAATTTCATTAAAATCCAGGTAGTATTTTGCAATTTATAGATAGGCCAATGATTAGCGGATAAACAGACCGACCTACAAACAGAAGACACACAGACGGAAATGTGTGATACGTTTTTTCATGTTTTCGAACATCGAACATTAAAAAAACAATACCTCATCTTCTAAACTTTTTTAGCGAATGCAATATTTCCTCGCCAATAGGCGTGTGAAATAATAATAGATCGTCATTCTAAGGCAGGTTCTTATTATTATTATTCGTATATTGTAAACAATTTTCAAATACTCCTACAGAATAGTCGGCGGAAATCGTTTTTGTTTTTTTTTTTTGAAACAAATAAATTACATGCTGTACTTACAGAATTGGGGAGAGTAAGAGGTATCGGATGCTGGAGCGTTAAAGGCACTGTCTGGTTTGGCAACTACAAGGACTACCCGATCTTGCGTGGTTTTTAAGGTGGCGACAGCTTCCTCGTGGGTTACGTTCTCTAAATTCACTTCTCCCTTCTGAAAATAAAAAAGAAAGATTACCTTACTAGAAAAAGGCAACGTGCCGCAATTCAAAAAATTGATAAAGTGCACAGCAACTGTGGGCACTTAAAAATGAAATTTTTAATTACTATGCACCTAAAATTGAGCGTCTCTTAGTATTTTTCAATTTAAGCAGGCAGCTGCTTAGATTCCATCAACTTATCAGAAGCTGCTATCAACATTTTAACATCAACATTTCTCATTTGCAATATTTCGTGTTCATTGTTGATTAGATCCGTTCCTAGCGCCGGGCCTGTATGTATTTTCACAGGATACTTGCAGCGCAAGTGTATGCAGCCAGATATACAAGCAACATTACGCTCCATAAAGCGTCGTCGTTTACTTCACTTCATTAACATCCTTTCTGGAATACATGCATATCCTCTCCGAAAAGTTTGCACGTTACTTAAACTATCTTGAATATTCAACTTCCACATGAGGCAGCGGCGCATCATGAGAAAAGATGACTTGAATTTCGCTTCACTATGCCAATGCCACGTTATAAACCCTAAAAACGTGCTTTTTGCGTTATGTTAATGTCACCATCGGCCTAACAGCTAAATGACATCCCTGTAGTACAAATTATAGGCACGACACTTGCGTCAACACATCCGCGTTGGCCGAGCGTTGAGCGCGCTGCACAGATTGACGTTCACTGATTCATGATGTTGAGCCACAGTGTCATCGTATTCGTTATCCAAGCCACGCATTTAGCGTCCGTACAAATAAAACAGGTACTGTTCTCCAAGCTTCAGTTATTTATTATTTATTTCATGTAGGACATCTTGATCTCCAACTAGCAAAGTCCAATATTTTGAGACCAATCAAATTGGGATGCAGATTTCATAGGTTAATGAATAAGAAGAGTAAAAATATAAACATTGTGTTTGGTAACATATTTCAGACCACACGGCCGGAAGTGTGAAGTTTTCAGTGTAGATCCCGCGGGTTGAGTCTACGCTCTACTGGCTAATCATGATTCACTTTTTTTAAATCTAGTAACTTCAACTATGTCCTTACTAGAGTCTAGAAACTTGTTACATGCATAATACTGTTAACAAGACAAGTATTAGAAGATTTTTGGACCATTGTTTAGTTTAGACGTTCATCACCTTCGAATGCTTTTTTTTATACTCCATCATGAAGGCCGAAGGCCTAAACAGCCATGGGTATCGTGGGGCAATAGGGGGATACATGGGAAAGGGGGAACGCCACACGGACTCAGGCGAGGGAACACGTGTGCATGTACACAGTCTGGCCCCGCCTACGAGATCCGCCGGGTGGTACTTCCGCGTTCGACAGTCAGAGGCCGTCTACCACCTACGGAAGGGTATCACCACTGTAACGGATTGTAAGAGACATTTGTTTTTTTTTGTGGAAGGGAAGGTGATAAAATAAGTATACTGAAGGAAGTTATTGAGTGTATAGTTAAGTAACAAGAAAAACTATCATAAAAAAATATTCCAAAATTTGAGGCGTAGTGAAGCTGCTGCAAATTTGAATCTGAAAAAAAAACTTTACATGCTTATTGCGAAATGAATACGTAAGAAATTTTAAAAATATTGGTTTGTGTGGTTGGTGGGTATTTGAATTAAAACGGTCAACTTTCACCCACAAAAAATAATGGTTATCATTTGTTAGCAAATAATCATTGAATAAACTTATCGAAAGCCACTTAGTAACGTAAAAATTTGAATGAGAAGAATCGAGTTATGACAATTTCCTTTTTTGTTATTTGAGTATATGTTAGTAACTTCCTCCCATATAATGATTTTATTGCCATTTTTTCCATAAAAAAAGGCAAAAAATATATTTTTTACGCCCGCAAGGCTCGAGTACCACACGCGAAATTGAATATTGTAGTTAGATGTCCATTTCCGAGCCAGTCAAGGGGCGGGTCTTCAGATTCCTTTCGTATTCTTGCTTCAGTAAGCAAAAGAGGGGAAGTGTGTCCAAACCCGGAAATAGCGCAGGTGGACGGAGAATTAACTGGACAGCCGATATCAACTTGACCGCTTCGTTAGGAGAAGGCATAACGTGCAGCAAGGAGATAAAAAACAGATGCCAAAGAAACTGATGCTTTAGAGAATCGTTTTCTTTTCCTTCTTACGATATCTTAGCTGGTTCTTCAACCATATAAGTTAAAAAAATGTACAATCTAGAATTCACACAGATAAAAAAAAACGAACAGCGATTCTCTTCATTACGCACTTTACTTTCATACGCCGCAATTTCTTAATTGTATCTCGAAAAACAAATGAGTTATTGGAGGACTACGGACGCTTGTTTAACATAGGAATACATGGGGGTAATGTGGAACCTTAAAGTTGTGTGTATACCTAATAATTGTATGTAGGTATGTGTAATTTCGCGGTAGAATATTCCCGAAAATTCAGTATCACCTTGGCGCGAATATTCGACCGGTCGACAAAACTCTTATTCAGGCATCACCAGTACCGAGCTAGGAGCGCCGATGCTGTATATCCTAACCTCCTGGGGAACATCCTCTGGGGAACTCAACCGCAGTATAAACAGGCGTCTAGTCTGCATAAAAGATAATTGAAGAAATGCAATTTCGAATACGAAACTCCACAACCATAATGATGTTACCGGGACAGTCGGTTATCCCACTGGAGTGTCTTGTATTTAGACGAGAACTGGGAATCCGATATTTGTTATTCCCTCTCCAATGCAACGTTAGGCAAAGAATTTTGGAAACTCTGACACTGGTTGCTCTCATACAATAGGTAGATGGAATTCGAAAAGAAACTATAGCTCCTTAGGAAAAATGTAACACTAACACAGACATCGCATTTGAAATACTGCGGAAGTTTTTTACTAAAAAATTGATTGACTCAATACTTTAAACGCATTTTCGGTCTTTTCACGGATTTTGGCGGTTGGAGGTAAAACTATGTATGAAGGTAATATACATAAATAGCCATCTCCCTCACACATATGTATATGCACTAGGCCTCTATGACTGTTTTTTAGTTCTGCCTCACCGACTTGAATAGCTTTTCGTCAATGTATGAGTCTTCTACATTTGTTTGTTAGTATGACAATTTGATTTTCATGGTCGTACGATTTGAATTTACGTTGTGTTGACCTTCAGATATAAAACAGCAATGCCAACTACAGTTGGCTACAGATCGGCTTGCCCAGTATGCAATTCTCCTTGGGGAAGTTAATCTCCACTCATGGTATATTTAGTCAATCTGTTTACTTATTCCATATGAAGTTGAGACGTAAACGCCAAAAAAAACTGTAAAGGACTTGTCATAGCAGTCAAAAATACAGAATATTCGTTTTTGTAGATGCACTGAGATGACTGTCGGATACAAAAATCAGTAAATAAATATGATTAAAAATTATTGAAATATTATTTTCGACCATATCTTCATTTTTCTATTCATATTTGTAAAAAGTTAAAATCAGCCTTTTCTATAAACGAACGCTATTATTCAGGACCTTCTCCATAATATATATTTTCATTATCATATTTCAGGAACATGTTTAAAAGTAACTAAAAGAAATTAAGTTTTAATTGTGCTAACAAGTCCAATCTAAGGATATTTCAAATGTCAAAATCCATAAAGTCGTTTAGGTTGTAGTCCGTCAAATTGAAACTTTAAGTTAAAGTTTGCGTTTAAAATCCGCCATTTTGATGTTATACGATTTAAGTACATCCAGTGTTATTCGCATACAGGTCATAACATATGTCCAAGCCGATCAACACGTTTATAATGGAACCCGCTAAATAAAAATTTGAAAAGTTTCAATTTTTGATTAAAATCCGACATTTTGATTTTATAAACTTGTTACTTGCGCTGCCAAGATGAATTTAATAACACTCCATATGTCAAAATCCATCAAACCTTTTAACTACGAGGGTTGTCTTTTAAGTTTTGCTTATAGAAACATAGTAGGCCGCGCGGATCGAACGTCAGTACTGAATCTTAACCTCACTCTTTAGTAAACTTAAATTAAAAGTTTCACAACAATACGTGCAGTGTTCTCACTATAGTGAATTTTTAAGAGTCACCAAGTCATTAGAAAAATGGAACTCAACTGAGAACATTTTCGCGCCATAATTTTCAGAGATAATTATCGAAACAAGAATGCCTTGCTGAGTTACTGTCTGTTTTCGGCAACATCAGTCGACAATTTCCCGTTGGTTTGGAGAATTCAAACGTGGGCGGGTGAGTCTTAGCGACGATCCCAGGGTGGGTGCACCAAATGCGGCAGTCACCCAGGAAAACGTCGATGCTGTGCGCAAACTCATCATTGAAGATAGACATGTGACATATCGCGAGATTGAGGCGTCCTAGAAGATCTCAAAGACCTCAATTCAAAAAATTTTACATGAAGAATTAGGAGCAAGACAATTAGTTTCTCGTTGGATACCCCACCTGTTGACTGACGAGCAGAAAGCAGCCAGGGTTAATTGGTGTCAAAAAACGCTGACCGTTTCAATTCCGGAAACTCAAAAAAAGGGGAAAGCATTGTTAGTGGTGATGAATCGTGGATTTACTGTTATGAACCAGAAAATAAACGACAGTCGGCTGTTTGGGTGTTCCAAGTTGAAGAAAAGCTAACAAAAGACATCCGTTCTCGAAGTGTTTCGAACAAGATGGTCGCGACATTTGTGTTAAAAGCAGGTCACATTGCAACAATTCCTCTTAATGAGCAAAGAAGTGTTACTGCGGATTGGTATACCACCATTTGTTTACCAAAAGACATCACCGAGCTTCGAAAAATCAACCCCGAAAGAAGAATCATCCTCCACCAAGACAATGCAAGCCCGCACACAGCCCAAAAAGCAAGGTAGTATTTAACCGAAGAAAACGTGGAATTATTGGACCATCCTCCATATAGTACCGATCTAAGTCCTAACGATTCTTTACTTTCCCGAAAATTAAAAACAGACTGCGTGGTCAAAGGTTCCAGTCACCAGAAGAAGCAGTTGGCGCATT